CTCTGTCCCTTAGCCAGTGGGATCTAAACAGACTATTGAGTCAAATGGAAGGTTTCGCTCGCACGCTGCTCTTCGCTAAGTCATCGTCCTGCAAGTGGCCTGAAGATTTGTTTATCAGGAAGCCACGTGGAGCTGGACAATGGTGAAAAATTGAACTCCGTTGACATGTTTCAACCCGAGAGAAGAGTTTGGCATTAGATGTGATCACAAAGAAGCAATAGCCAGGGACAAATCAGGCTTTGAGGTGACCGGGCACTAAGAAATAATCCGATTGGCACTGCATTTTAAATTTATTACTACTCAAATTTCAGCGTATGAAGAAAAATGAACACGCCTCCTGAAATGAGGAGTTAATCATCACGTAGTATTATTTAAAAAGAAAAACACACCTTTCCTCAGGTTGTCACTTACGAAGAAATGGACTTGAAAAGATGAGCAGCTGACTCGGTTAATAAAGTCTGTATTGCATCATAAAAGGTTAACTCTATGAAGGAAGGATTAAAAATGTCACTTAATGTGTCTTGTGAGTCCAGTAGGTACACAGACCTCTGGGACTGTGTCCTTTCCCTCCGTCACGAACTTTCCATGGGGTCTATTTTGAAATGGACATTTCTGCTATAAAGTCTGATAAAATCCAGAGAGAGAGAGAGAGAAAGCAAATGTCACATTTTCTGATGTAGATTCCTGAAGTAGCAGGGGATTAAATTCTAAATGTCTCAGCTGCTAAAGGCCCCTTCAGACTTTCCCCAAATGAGGAACAAAGAAAATGAACCTGCCCTAAAGTTGTTCATCAGATCTGCTTGGGCACAGTGGCATCCTCTTGAGCTGGTAAGGATAAGTTGCCCCAAGTAATTCAAGTGTTTGCAGCTACTTAGAGTATTGGAGAACAATGTCTCCAGTCTTTATCAAGCATTTCACACGTCCTAATGAGTGCTCAGCCACTAGCTAATTAATATCCATCAAGAATACAACTGTTAGGAACTGGTAAGCTGGACCTGTCGGTAAGGTGCTTGCTCCAAGCATCAACACCTGAGTTTGGTCCCCAGAAGCCATGTAAAAAGCCAGGTGGCACAGCACGAACCTCTCATACCAGTACTGGTGAGAGACTGCAGCGATGGGAACACTCTGGGGCTTGTGGCTGAATCTGAAGCTGAATCTGCAAGCTCTGCATTCAGTGAGAGACTTTGTCTCACAGAGTGTGGGGAGTGATTAGGTAACACGTCCTGTGGAACCTCTGGCATCTGTGTGCATGCATACATACACAAATACATGGTGTGACCTCTGGCTTCCTTGTGTATGCACACACACAAACACACACAACATTCAATCACATGCTGTGACCTCTGGCTTTTGTGTATACACACATGCACACACACACAATCACATTGTGTGATATCTGGTTTCTGAGTGCTTGCACACATACAGGCGCGTGCGCACGCGCGCGCACACACACACAAATTTAACAACTAATAGTTGCAACCTCTCAATGCCTTCCACTTTTAAAGAGTTCCTTGTTGCCTGACTGTGCTGAGTCCTCTGTGGACCCCGCCTTAGGGGAATGGTTGTTTTTATGTTGTATTCATTTCGTGCATCATGAAATTTCTGTTGAACCAGCCTTTTACACCCTCCACTGATAAGTGCCCACTTTTGTCTTCTCAAGTCTAATTGGCGGTTGCTTTATCTTGAGCTGTTCTGATGCCCTCGGCCACACCACTGTCTGTGACTGATCTGAGTGTGGATTGTCTCATCATGGTGGAGACCAGCACAAAGCAAATGCAGGATACATTGTTTTCTGGTGTTTAGTGTAATCTCCCAACATAGTGTACATAGCAGCCTTCTTATCAAATGACCTGAAGGTTCTGACAAGACGATGTCCCAGTCAATCGCTCCTGCCTGTGGCTGGGATGCTCACACTGGCTGTCTGTCCTGCATCCATTGGGGACCCTAGCTGGATGGTCTCAGCTCAGATGGGCAAGGCCAGAACTGTCCCTCTTTAAGAACAGTAGACTTCCCTTCCTCGGGGCTCCTCAGCCGCCTTGTTTGACGCATGATATTTAATTGTCCCCCTTCCTTACCAGCTCTGCGGACCCTTTGGAGCCTATTCTGCCTGGTTGGATTCATTTTCTCTCTCAGAACCTTTCCTAGTCTACACTGGGTATGAACTCCGAGGCGCGGCTACATTTATGTGTGTCGTGTCCTGAGTATCTGTTCTCAGTTCACGTCTCCATACCCTTAGTGTCTCCTGCATGCTCGCTGCGTGAAGCTGTGTGTGCCACGGAGTGTCTCAGCCGTGGTCTTCACTGTGGCCACGGCGGAGGTGACTGCTGGAGAACTCACATTTGTTTGTATCAGGTTCTGTTGTCCTTGCCTTGCAGAGCTTAAAGCTCCACCTTCTCAAGTGAAGTTTCTGTGTGCTCTGCGTCAGCGCTGTTGGGTTGCTTTCTTGCCAAGCAAGAGTAGCATTGCAATGGACAGAGAGAGAAAGGACCTGCTCACTATAACATGACGGCGTGGACCTGGAGGTCTGAGCTATGTAAAGAATGCCCCTGAGCTGACCCATTGGAATGCAGTTCCAGGAGCAGCACAGATGGAGGCCCTGGCTTTCCACCCAGGAGCTCCTCTTTGCTCATTATAGCCTTCCTGTGATGGCCCCAGGAGACAGATTCGGATTCCGGGGGCACAGGCTCTTGCTGCTGCAACTTCATCCTATTCTGAAGTTTCCCTCAGAAGCTGTTGGTTTACTTTTGTGCATTACACATGTGTCGCTGTTGAGCTGTTGTGGTGCATTAGGAAGGGCCCTCCCCGCCTTTGTCCCCAGACACCTAGCCCTGCACGTTCACCAGAGAGCCTTGCTGGGACCGGGGGTAGACAAAGGCACAGATCACATCTGGGGCTGCTGGTTTGAATGTTGACACAGAGAGGTGTTCTGAGCTCTTACTTAGTGGGTAACTGACCTCTTCGGTTTTATTTAGCCATCTCTTCTGGTTCATGGCCCTTTACTCTTAAGATCCACGACTTCTTTTACGCTGTTACTGTGGCACATCACAGGGTTGTGGACATAATGATTCCACAGAAGACCGAATTAAAACGTTCCTTCATGATTAGAAGGTTCAATGAGGTAAGGCTGTGGTGGTTAGTGGGGAGATAAGGATGCCAGGGAGGCAGAACTCGGGGGACTCTCGGGTGATTAGAAAATTAGCCTGGCTAGACAGAGGATGTGGGTTTTACAAATGGCAGCAGCTGCGCAGCGAGGGACTGAGAGGTGGCTCTGCTGCCTTGATTGAGCTGTGGCCCAGGCCCTAGCATGTCTGCTCTGAGGTTTCTTTTCTCCCTTGAGCTAATCGCACCAGGAAGTAAGAGGCCTCCAGCCCAGCAGGTGGAAGGCCAGTCATCCTCACAAGCTCTGGCTACTTCAGCTTGGAGCCTGCTCAGGGGTCAAGCCCAGTTTGGGGCCATCGGGGTGTGTCACAGCAGCTCTGCCGTGAGTCTGTTCAGTGTGCCTGGCCTGGTTTTGACTTTCTCTCTGACTGTGGCTCCTGAACTTGTGGTCCACAGAGAAGAACGCCCAAGGGCTGGGCCACCTGGCTCTCTGGGTAAATTACTGGGGCCATGCTGGTTTCTACAGGGTCAGCCCCTGCCATGGAAACCGAGGGTCTGGAGTCTGGCTCACTTTTCCCCCAGTGCGGCAGCCTCCATGCTTGGTTTACACACTGGACCCCAGCCCCCACTCCATCCTCAGTGCCTTCCTTATTCCTCCCCGTTCCAAGGTACCGTCTGCCATGTTGGATTACGGCGTAGCTTCCATCTTTAGAAAAACCCAACAGGTGAACAACAACAGGAAGTCCTTGTTGCTTTTCGTCATCTCCCAGACTCGCTTGGTGCCCAGAGGGGCCCTCCGTAGCCATCACTCGTGGCCGCCGCTTTCCTTCCGTGTCCTGCACGCACAGAGAGACTGGTTGGGCCCCACAGATAACCCACGCTCTCTCGTTTCCTTGCCTGTAGCTTCCATCTAGAAAGATCTGCTCACACGCTCCTACCAATCAAAGCATGCATTTCATCAAGCCCCATCTTAGTATGGTTCACTGCCGTCTCTCACCCCAGCCAGATGCCGTTGCCCCAGCTTTCTCCTTTCGAAGTACATTCAGGGAAATGCTCTGAGGCTGTGCCGTGCAACCTTCGCTCTTCTGGGGAAGTTTCCTGTTGATGGAAACGTCTAGAAACAGGCCCAGAAGTGTGAGACAGGGAATGCAGCTGGGCCATTCAGGTTGTGAGGGAATCATGCATGCATTTCCCTCAAGTGTTTGCAGTGTTTGCAGTGATTTAAGGTGCAGTACTATGCAGAGGGCGCGGATACGGGGAGCCCTGTGACAAGCATGTGGTAGGGAAAGAAACCACCGTAACGTAAATACAGCGTGAGAAAAGTAAACGTGCCTTTGAGACAATGGTTCTCCACCTGTGGGCAGCCCCTTTGGAGGCTGCAAACCGGATATACACACATTAGGAAATAGCAACAGAGCTATGGTTGTGATGCATCGATGAAAATAATCTACGGTCGGGGGTCGTTGCAACATGGGGACTGTGTGGGAGGTTGCAGGTAAGGAAGGTGAGAGGCTCCCCTGCCTTAAGCAAAGGGGGCTGAGGAGACCGGCAGGTTGGCGGTGGGGAGGGAGCCGAGGAATGGAGAAAGGGCTCCTGTGGTCAGAGATGTCTCCTTTATGGAGATAGTGGGTAAGGAGGGAGGCAGAGGAGGAGGCTCAGAGAGGGTAAGAGAAGTTGCTGCCACCTGCTCACCAAATGATGGCTTTTTTCTTCCTCCAAGGGAGATACCCTGAAAGACAGAATTCATTGATTCTTCCGAGAGAGAAAGGGACAGCCACACCCACCCCACCCTGCCCACCCCTCCCCCATCCCCACTCCAGCTCCCTCCTCTCCCTGACCTGTGACTGCTGCGGGCTGAAGGTCACTCACTGTCCTCCCCTTTGTCCCCTGCTGTTTTACAGAAGAAGTCCGTGCTCGTGGTGAGCTTCATCGCCCTGTGCCTCTTGCTGCTAGCCATGCGCCTCATCAATGACATGAATTTCCCTTTGCTACTGAACTGCTTTGGACAACCTGAGACAAAATGGATCCCACTGTCCTACACATCCAGGCAGCCTCTTCGAACTCACTATGGATACATAAATGTGAGGACCCAAGAGGTAAGAGCTGAGAGGGTTACCTGGGAGAGTATCCATGGCAACTGTTTCCAGTAGGCTCAAGATGGCTTCCGAGCCATTACCTACCTGCTCTGTCCCACTGAGATTCTTTGGGTCCCTGACAACATTTTCTGTTTTGCTATTCTTAGATACTTCTGACACGTGTCTAAAATCTTTCATCGCCTCCCACATCAAAACACGAAATCACTGGCTTCCTCGGGAGTTGCAGAAGCAATTACCTGTTTTCCTGGTGGTGTGAAGTTTAACATACATATCTTTCCGTTTAGATACTCGGGTCGGCGGCCACCAGCTGGAGAACTGACTGGCTTTATTTCCTGTAGGTCACCTGTTGGGGACAGCTCTTTATAGAATTCGAGAAAAGCATTTGTCGCTTTATAACTCTGTCATCCTTAGACCTAGAGCTAAAAATAGGGCCAAGCTGAATTTTAACATTTGCAGTGGCTACAGAGATAATGGGATTTAGCATCTTTCCGAATTTAAAGGGGTTTAGATCCTGCCATTGCTGAACTTTTAAATCTTCGTAGCCAATTGGTGTCCCAGGTGAGGGTGGCTGAATATTGACAGCCAGGGAGAGTACACTGGGCTGTAAGGGTGTGTGTGTGTATGGGGAAGCCAGCGACACTTTGGGGATGAGATCCTGGGGCACTGCGTACACTTTTTAGTTTGCCAGTGAGGTGAAGTCTCTCGCTGATCTAAAGCTCACCACTCCCGCTAGGCTGACTGACCAGGAGTCCCAGGACCCCTCTGTTTCTGCCTCCCTAGTGCTGGGACCACAGGCCCAGGCCACCAAACCAACTTTTTATTTGTTTATTATTTCTGTTTGATAATTTTATGCATGTGTGCATTTTGACCATGCCACTCCAGCTTCACATACTCCTTTTGAAAACCCGCCAGATACTAGAGATTTGATAAGGTGCATGCCAAGGCCGCCATGAGTTCGTATGTACAGTGGCTGTGTTGTGTGCAGAGAGCGTCTTCACAGCAGTCCAGGACTGTAGCGTAGGTGCTCATGCTCACAGGGAAGTACGTACTCACAGAGCCAGACGCCCACACTTAGCTTTAGAGTTTGGTCTCATAAAGTACAGAAGGGGAAAAACCCTCGAGCATAACGTGAAGCATGCAGAGGTAGTGAAACTATTCCCACAGCCGTTTCCATGGGGACGGGGTAAGCGGGAGGCACATCGGTGTGGATGCGAAGTCCAGGCCTGTTTGCAGATGTTGGTGACACAGCCACAGTCCATCCGGGCGTCACATCACTGAAGAGAATTTGGGGAACAAGATCCTGTTGGAGGGTTCCTTTATACACACCCGGAGAGGGCGCCGGGCAGCCCCTTTGGGGACAGTGGCATGCCTGAGCTGTCCTTTGTGTGTGCTCTTTGAACATTGTTTTTGTATCTCCTGGATTTATAGACTGTTTATTAGACCTTTATAGTTGAGGGGAGGCAGCATTAATAATGTATAAGTTCCCCAGAGTCGTGCTTGATGTGGATCTTGTAATTGGTTTTAAATTAACTTTTGAAAGCGTCTTGCTTGGGTTTGTCGAGTGTCCTGATAAACTGGTTACCTGTATAAAAGTGCGCCTTTTAGATGGCAGCTCGTCTCCCTCTTATGCTACTTTTATGTCTGGCTGTCACTTAATGTTCTATAACACTGCAGTATGGGCTGGTCATTTCACAAGTGCCTGTCACAGGCTCAAAATGGAACGCATGCATGAAGTAGCTCATGAATTATGCGTATGAGAAATACACCACTGGATAGTAAAGCCCTTCATTTGTCTAAATATTTGGGAATTGGATTTTGGAGTAGTCCCAGCCACTGCCTCCTGTTGCTAAGAACTCTGCCCTGCCTCCACTCCAATGATGGACTGAGATTGGGCCGGGTCCCAATCTCAGTTTCTGACCATGGGCAGTCACTGTTGTGACATGATGTGGTATGAAGGCATTGCTTAGGGCACAGTAGACTTGGGCACTGATGAACAAGAGGAGGCTGCAGCTAGACGTTTCTGGTGACCAGTTTCATGACCGCCATCTTCCCCAGATCTGATAAGAGATCCAGAAAGTGCTAGAACTGAGAGGAAGGCAGATGGTTTGAAAAGAATGCCTGTCCTTCCCCATGATGCTCAGGAGAAGTCCAGGCATGCAGAATTCAGCAATTTAGCTAGGCTGAATGCATCCCTTTAAATACCGAGAATCTTAGAAGGCCTCGAGTAGACAAAATATGAATATTTTGCATCAGTTCCTATGACAGGCAGACCACGCTAGTCTAATTATAGATGCACATAACATATTGATGTTGCAATAGAATTTCCTAAATTGTGGTTATTGTAACAATTAAGGAACAAAGCTGACTTTCTTGGCAATAAAAGAACAGGCTCACCACATTCAAATAAATGTGCACTTGTAACTAAGGCTGGCGTGAATGGGTTTTTATGTTTGGGTATATAGGCTTTAGATTTTCCAGAAGTATATGGAAAGCAATTATATGCAGATGTATGCTCCAAAATTTTTAAACTGATCAACTTAATTGTTAATTAAATTTTGGGTATTCACATTTGTGCAATTATAAAGAAAAAGACATTTTCACTTCTAAGTTGCCTTACAGAAATAAATTAGTGTATAATAACGGCTACTGATTTGTCATGTGTACATCGGATTTGTCATTTCAAACATGGGGCATCTATCTGTTGAGTGGAGGAGGGATGCTTTTATTTCTCAGGTAGGCTGTGAGACAGCAACTCTTAATGAAGAAACAAACATCAAGGCAATGTAGGCCTCAATGAACGGAGGGGTTGGCATCACCCGGGGTTGAGTCTATTCCAGGGTGACTTTGTGGCACACAAGGCTGTCAGTTGACAAATCTAGACTCAGGGAAGAAGAGAGTCTCAGTGAGGAACTATCTGTGTTGTGGGGTGGACTGGCCTGTTTCCCTGTGTGATTCAGACATGAAGATCCAGGCCCGTGTGTGGACAGCACCCTTTCATTGGCTGGGGTCTGGAGTTGCGAGAAAGGGCCAGCATGGCTCCTCCTCCTCCTGTCCTGACTGGGATGCAGTGTGCATGTATCGCTCCTCTTCCTCTCTTACTAGGATGCAGTTGCATGCATTGCTCCTCCTTCTCCTCCACTCCTGACTGGGATGCAGTTGCATGCATCGCTCCTCCTCCTGTCCTGACTGGGATGCAGTTGCATGCATCGCTCCTCTTCCTCTCTTGACTGGGATGCAGTTGCATGCATTGCTCCTCCTTCTCCTCCACTCCTGACTGGGATGCAGTTGCATGCATTGCTCCTCCTTCTCCTCCACTCCTGACTGGGACACAATGTGAGCAGCTGGTTTAACCTCTTACAGCCTTGACCCCTTTGCCACAATGAAGCCCATTCTGCCAAGTTGCTTTTTGTCAGGGTGTTTTATCACTGGAATGGAAATGGATCAGGAGAAGGATGGGACAGGTAGAGAACATGACGAATCCAGGGAAAGAACAAACGTAACAGAATCTGCATCCTCTGCCAGAGAAAGGCGCTACTCCCAAACTCCAGGGACCCTGACGTCTGCCTTGACAGTCGAGTCGCCTCATGTGTGTTCTACGGCCTGCTTCTCTTCCGGTGACCCACTCCTTTCCATTCCAACCTCGTCGCCATTGATTGGCTGCTGCTCGGGCTTGGAGTGCCTTCACCTTCACCCTGCAAAACACACAAGTTGTCACTTTTAATCATGCTCCATTCTGTTGCCTAAACATGGTGGACACAGCACTCCATGTCAAGGGATTCAGAGGGCATTCATGATGCTCTGATATTCCAGAGATGCAAATTCAACACACATGGTGTAACTCCAGGGCTGACTTGTTTAGAGTCAAACATACTCTGTATAGTTGTAGAAATATAGACTGTTATATAGTCATACAGACTACAGAAAATGGAAGCTGCACTCACTTGTTATGATGACCTAGGATGTGAATAACAAAGGGCAAGGGCAAACTTGTACTTAAGAGCAATGATACATACAGATGAAAAATACATGGATACAAAGGAAAAGATACACATGCATCCCTACTCAGAAAACTCTATTAACACGTATTACATGCATGTGTACAGTATATACATGAACTTATATTTACATAATGACTTCTACTCTGCTAAATACAAGCATGCACTAGAGAATGCCCATACACTCTACATTGTGTAAGAAAATGACTAATTCATATCTTAGCCTGTTGGGTATAGATAGTACCTTATGAACCTGCCTACTCTCTACTTACCCTTTATTGTGGTCAGCTGTCCCATACCAACCCTAGGCTGGCCACAAAGTCAGATCAGTCTTAGAAAATGAAGAAACTGGGCAAGACACAGGCCCAAGACCCAAGAAGAGCCATGCTGGTTCGTTCTCAGATTTTCATTGTATTTTTATATTGTCATACTGTTCACAAGAACAAGAACTCTGTTTCCTTGGGGTGGTGGAGTATTTGCAATATGATTCTCTGGGTGTGCCCTGCCATATCCCCAGAGAGAATGAGACCAAGACACTGAGAGAAGAAATGAGTTGTAGAGGAGACTGGAAGCCTGAGATGCTATTCCAGGTCCAGAGCCCATCCGTGCTGGAAGCCAGCTTCCCAGCTCTGTTATTTATGTATAGAAATCAATAAACTCTATTTCCATTTTGGCTGATTTTAACTTTTTTGGCATTTGCAGCCAAGAGACATAGCAAATACATTGTTGTTTTCTAAGCACTCCCAGAACCCTGTAGCTCATCTTTGAGTACGTTTCCCTCCAGAGGACAGCAGCCACCTCTCAAAGTCTGGACTCTCAAATCTGTTGGGAGGGCAAGCACCAGAAGCCGTCCATCAGTGAGCTGCAGGGCTGCAAGCCTGTGCACCGAAGGCATTTGTCAATGTCTCTGTCAAAGACCACGTACCGAGGAGCAGGGGGCTTAGTAATCCCACTGATTATGGGAGGGAAGAGAAGGAAGGCTTCAAATCCAGACACTGGGCAAGC